TATGTAGGGATTATATAGGGATAACGGAATAGAAAGTGGATACTGCTATTGAGGGTTCAGGGGTTAGGTCCATGGTTTGGAGTTCAAGGCCGAAACACGCAGGGTTTTGGGTTTGAAGTTTGAAGCTTGAGAGGCATGCGCTACAAGCTTGATTGGTACGTACGCTCCTCCCAGGCTCACGTCAATAGTATTTAATGGGGATGCCTCAGTCCCTAAAATGGATTGAGATGATGTCCTCCTTTTGGTTGTAGTAGTATCTTATAGCCAGAACATTGTTTGACTTGGTTCGACCACTAGCTAAGCACCACTACTGTAGTGCTAAGCCCTAACCTCGACACTTGGATGTTTCCCAGAACGGCAGTACCTTAGGCACCCACCCCGAAAGTATACGGAGATTATAGGAGGATCGCAGAGGGCCCTCTCAGGATTGTATGGGGATTATTTTGAGAAGGTCCTACTCCTCTGCAAAGGGGAACAGAATTATACAATACTCAGGATACGATCTTCGAAAGATTGGTGTCCGGCAACCAACAATCAGCAGAACAGTACTGATAAAACGCTTTCCAGCTCCAGAAAGGTCTCCTCAAAATCAGGATTCCAAAGTACACACTCCAAACTATGTAGTTTGTTGCCTGGAGGCTCAGGTGGCGAAGTAAGGTATTAAGGCGGTAGTATTTAAGCCAGCCCCAATTGAATTGGGGGACTCAAAACCCTATTCACATTCCACATCCCCATATTTAGCCACTGTATAAAATCCTGTGTCAGCTCCATTTTTCATGTGATCTTCCACTTGATTCTCTATTACTCCGGCTCCTTGAGGGTCCCTATATGGGGGTTTCGTTTCCTAAAAGAAGGGGTACCATATTGGGGGGCATCCCTATAATAAGGATTATAGCATATTGGGCTCTATATTGGGGGTCCCATTATTTTGGGAAACTACCATATCCTTCTATATCCCTGTATTCTCCTGTACATCCCTAGTTTTCAGAGGTGACCCTTGCAGAACAGCTTCCCAGGGAGCCCAGTACCTCTTATTCTAAGGAACATTCCTTGAATATACCAGGGCTTTCAGTCTCATGTAGGGCTCAAATTTAGGATTTTATTCTTGAATAAGCCCAAGACCCCTTTAGGGGATTTTATTCCTGAATAAACCCAAAACCCCTTCCGGGGCTTTGGCCCCCTACCTTGTAAAGGTCCTGAAGGCCCTTGGCACGGCCGTGGAGTTTGAGCAGAGCATGGGAGACTGGGCCCTACCAAAACCTCCCAAACATTGTTTGAGCTATAGTCCCCCTTAAGTAGATAGAATATGGGGCATATGAGGATCTTATTATAATATACCCAAAGCCATATTCTATTTACTTAAGGGGGGCTATATAGTCTAAACTCCTAAAAAGTGGTTATATAGGGGGTTATATGTAGGGTTTGGGGTTTAGGGTCTAACTCCTTAAAGGGGTTATATACGGGATTATATACAGGGTTTAGGGTTTAGGGTCAACACTCCTCAAGGGGGGCATATACGGGATTTTACATAGGGTTAGGGCCTAGGGTTTAGGGTCCAAACTTCTAAAAGGGGATTATACAGGGGATCAGGGTTTAGGGTTTATATAGGGTCTACTTAGAGTTTAGGGTTAAAGGTCTAAACTCCTAAGCAGCGGTTATATAGGGGATTACATAGGGGAGTATTGTAGGGGTTATTAAGGGGGATACTAGGAGTTGAGACTATAACTGATCTGTGGTAAAAGGCCATTCTTATAGGAATTTGGGATGTCAAGATACGCACCGATTTCTAGGACATGCGCAGATGTAGGGTCTCAAAGACTAGAATGTGGCTGGAGGGTATATTGTACTCCCGAATCTTGCGGGAATAGCTGGCCTAATGATTGAAGTTTAAAGGGCTTTAGGGTTTAGGTTTTAATGCTTAGGGTTGACACTAAACCCCGCGCTCCCAAGTCCGTTACCTGCAAGTTTGCCTTATCAGCAGTAAACCCGAAATCCCGCGCCCCCAAATTTTGTGCTTGTATCATGAGTTTTGCCCGTCATACGGGTCCTACTTGGATGGTCATTGGGACTTAGTAACTAGGTTGCTAATGGGGATAACTAAGGTTACTACATGGGTTATAGGGGTTATTAACCTACCTACTAAGTTCTCCCGACCCTCCATGCAGTCAAAGTAAACCCTAGGTGCTATCACACGCACGTTCCGCAGGTCTACAGGGGCGCCGGGTGTGAGACCCTAAGGTCTAAATTCCTAAGCCCGAAACCCCAAACCCTGAACAATAACCCCAAACTCGAAACCCCAAATCCCCAACCCTAAACCTCAAACCCTAAACCTCAAACCCTAAACCTACTTATCAATTCCACGAGCCTGGCTTGATCCTGCACGCGCTCTGTCACGATGGTGTTCCTGAAAGTCTTCCATGTATCGGGTTTAGGGCTTAGGGATATCGTCTCCCTTAAGTAGATAGGCTATGACTTTGGGTATAGAATATTGTAAACGCTAGCGCGCGCCCGCCTCGGCTGGCGGGGCTTCCCACTGTAGGAACATGTAATTATAGATATACAGGTATTTAAGTTAGGTATATAGATACAGTCATATGCCTATTACATACACAATAAAACCCTAGAAGTCCAACTAGGGACGCGCAAGTAGGACCCAGGAAACCGGTGGGGAAAATGTTCGGGGCCAGCGTTCGGAC